ATTTTTCAATGACTTTCTAAAATTGCTAAATGGAAATGGAAAGTGAGCTACACTAGAAACACATTTTCTTGAAACCCAGTTTTCAGAAATATATCACAGAAACATAGACCTTTTCAAAACCCTTACCTAAACAGTTGGGGTGGGGGTGAGCAATCTATTTTTCCTATTTATAAAAAGTTTTGTTTAGAGTAAAATGCAACATCAATAAAATCCTTCAGGTTTTTGAAATTCTCTTTGCTTTTTCAACAAGATTGTATCTCCTTTGAATTTCTAATCTCTACAGAAACAATGCTTCAGAATCTCATGTTTAAAATCCAAGCTCATTCCAAACTACGAAGTTTTACCAGTCACGAGCAAAAGCATGACCAAGAAAAAGAAGTCATAGCTTTTCCTGGAAACAGTGAATCAAGCTGACTTCTACCACAGAAGACAAGATTCTACTTCATGAAGAAGTCTCTAAATTTGCAACAATGTATACAGCCTTTAAAAACAAATCCAGCCGGGCGCGGTGGCTCACACCTGTAATCCTAGCACTCTGGGAGGACGAGACGGCGGATTGCTCGAGGTCAGGAGTTCGAAACCAACCTGAGCAAGAGCGAGACCCCGTCTCTACTATAAATAGAAACAAATTAATTGGCCAACTAATATATATAGAAAAATTAGCCGGGCATGGTGGCGCATGCCTGTAGTCCCAGCTACTCGGGAGGCTGAGGCAGGAGGATCGCTTGAGCCCAGGAGTTTGAGGTTGCTCTGAGCTAGGCTGACGCCATGGCACTCACTCTAGCCTGGGCAACAAAGCGAGACTCTGTCTCAAAAAAAAAAAAAAAAGCAAAACAAAATAAAAACAAATCCAGTAACAAACCCTGTAAGCTAACTGATTAATGCCAACACACATTTAAATAAATACTGTCAGAATTTCTCATTCAATCTCCATGACTATTTTTTTTTTTTTTTTTTTTTTTTTTTTTTGAGACAGAGTCTCACTTTGTTGCCCAGGCTAGAGTGAGTGCCGTGGCGTCAGCCTGGCTCACAGCAACCTCAATCTCCGGGCTCAGCGATCCTACTGCCTCAGCCTCCCGAGTAGCTGGACTACTGGCATGCGCCACCATGCCCGGCTAATTTTTGTATATATATTTTTAGTTGGTCAATTAATTTATTTCTATTTTTGGTAGAGACGGGTCTCACTCAGGCTGGTTTCGAACTCCGGACCTTGAGCAATCCGCCCGCCTCGGCCTCCCAAAGTGCTAGGATTACAGGCGTGAGCCACCGCGCCCGGCCTCTCCATGACTATTATTACTCCAAGTTTCAGAAGAGAAAATTATTCTCAGAGAAATTAAGTAATATGCCCAAGGACCTGAACCTGCAAAAAGTTGGCATAAGGACATTGAACAGAAACTTTTCCAAAAAGAAGAACAGAATAATGGCCAACAGACATATAAAAAAGATGTTCAATTATCTCTAAGTCATTCAGGGAAATCGCAAATCAAAACTCCTCTAGCAATACTGTTCATGCCATCTATAGCTGAAATGCCGGTCTGAATCATTTCCTCTGGGTAGATTCGACACTGAGGATTGATGGGCTGACCTAATGCATTTCCAAAAGGAAAAATTTTAGTAGGTCTGCACAGTATTTATCAATAGAAGTAGAAATCAAATTTAAAAGAGAAAGCACCAAGAAGGCCAGAACTATATAAAGCATTTCTCTCTACTCTTAAAAAATCAGTTTACTTTTAAAATCTGAAACTTGAAATAACTTTTACCTTTAGTCTTTTGTAGACTCATAAAACATACCATAGCAGAACTCAAGTTCCTAAAGTGAAACAAAGGTATACCAAAGAGGAGGGAAATCCTAATTTCAAAGTTATGGTTTTACCATACGCATTTCAGATATATCCTACATGTTTTATAATATCTAAGATATTACATAAAGTTATAAGGTAATTTCTAGGAAAAAATTTATGAAATAAATAATTTATAATCTATGGAGCATCTATAATCTATTAAGTAGATAATCAGTTATCTACTTAAAACATATCACAAAAATTACTATTTGGCAAAGGTAAAAGACAGATAAGAGGGTATTTTCTCTAAAGCACAGAAATCCATCTACTTCCCTTACCCATAATATCAAGAAAGTCTTCAGCCAGTACAACGGGACCTTTGTCAATGGGTTTTCCTGATCCATTGAATACCCGACCTATAAAACAGTAACAAACAGTATAAGTAGACCTTCAAATACTCATAATTTTTTAAAACCTTATGAAATATGTTTAAAAATGAAATGAAGAACTATATCCATTTACCAAGCATATCCTCAGACACTGGTGTTCGGAGAATATCCCCAGTAAACTCACAGGACGTTTTCTTGGCATCTATACCTGAAGTCCCTTCAAATACCTATGAATAAAAAGAATACATAAGAAGGGAAAAAGAAAAACTTAGATGGTGGGCACTCAAACTGTCCTTATAAACGCATACATAATGTATACTACTTTTAATATACCAAAGAAATCTTCATGGTGATGAACCAAATTATCAACTGTAGACCAAGGTTCACAATGCAGGCCAAATTCACATAAGTAAGCTATAGTACATTTTTTACATTTTCGAAGGGAGGAAGGAGAGGAGGGAGGGGAGGAAATGAGGGAGGGAAGGAAGGAGGGAGGAAGGGAGAACAGCCAGGGCCAAATAATGCAAAAAAACTTAGTGACCCCATAAACTTTACTGTCTGGCCTTTAACAGAAATTTTGCCAATACTCCACTCGATCAATTTTAGGTGGATCAGATGTTATTTGAAAAAACCTATCATTTCCCACAATGAGATAACATTAAAAACTAGGGACTATAAGAGACAATGTAAAGGAATAGACTCAGATACAGTTTTGGTTTCATCCCACCACGGCCAGGGGTAGTGACAATGCCCAAAAGCAGCCTTAAGGCAATGAAGCTGCAGCAATGCCCAAGAGCAGTACTGCCAGTTCCTATCTCATATAAGATAGTATTTGCAGTTAGTGCTCAATAATAGTAGATTTATTATTATTTAGTATTGACATGTGTAAATCTACTTCTTTTGTCAATGGAAAGAATACAAACTCTGTAAAATAATTTAAAGAGTTTCATTCCAAGCCAATTAGACATGGCGCCAGAGAAAGCCACCACCTAAAGAGGGCTTGAGCAAGTGGTCTGGCCATGGTTGGTTACAGTTTTGGTTTATATATTTTAGAAAACAGGATTACAAATAAAATCATAATCAATACATGGAAGGCAATACCATTTGTTTGGCCCCAAATGGCAGGACATTTCAAATCACAGGTTATGGTGAGTTTAACAGATTCTTGATTTGTAATTGGCTAAAGAAAATAACAAAGTTCTGTCTAAAGGCCTTGGAAAGTTTTAAGTTAAGGAAGCCCTATTAATCCGAAACAGCCACCAGACATTTACCAGACTCAAGTGATCTGTTTAATAAATTGATGACTGCAGGTGTGGTTTAACTTTTGCCCTCCACCACGGTCTTTAGGTTTGTTTAAATTTTGTATCTTACAGTTAAAAAGAGTAACTCCCAAAAGGGCCCCCAGAAGCTATAACTAGGCCATGTCTGAGCCCTCCCTTCTCCCTTATGGCTAAACTCCAGCTTTTAAGGTTTGGTTTGGTTTGGGGCAGGGTCCCCTTGGCCGCAATAAGGGTCCATTCAGTCAGCTAGGAGGGCCTTAAGATTTTATTTTAGTTCACACTTTCCAAGGCTAATTTTATGTCTAACCTACACCCCTCTGTAGATTTCCCATCCCGTAATTCTCCTTATACCACAGTTTTGCTTTGTATTTATAACCTGTCTGTGTAAGTCTCATCACCGCCAAGTGACACTGTAAGCTTATTGCAGACTGGAACAGTGTTCTAGGTAAAAGTACCAAAGCCAATACGCAGAGGGAAGAAATGAACAAGTGAAGCCCAATGAAGTAACAAGCCATCAAGGATCTCACCTTGCACAGGTCCCTTCAACAAAGCCCTGAAAAGGCCTTAACAATATATTTTATTAGCTTTTTTGTTTCATCCTTCCAAGATAAGATTTTTTTGTATGATTTTCATTAAAGTAGAATCTTGCAAAATTGTCCTAAGCTTAGGTCGGCCGCACACATACCGGGGCTGGGGGGAAAGTTATGCCATAGGACAGTTCAGTGTAGTGCCTGATGTCTTAAACATGTGCCCCTCCCAAGATAGCCCCCACTGCCCCAGATACTCTACCCAGCGCCTGCCCTCCTGCCCCCAGGAAGCCCGACTGCTACAACCCACTGTTCAGGTCCCTGTGGCTCCCCTGGCCTTCTGTAGGAAACCCCCGTAGAGGATTGGAAGGAAAGAGAAAGGTCGGTTAGGCGTAGGATTTTCCGCCTGGATGTTTGCTGGCAAGGTTTACTTCCAATTGGCCTGGCCTCCAGCCTGAGTGCACTGCTCCCCTGGTCCACCAACACCCAGTTTTGCAATAACAGTCGTTCCGTTTGTTTGCTTGGTCTGCAGTGGATAACACCCAGGGCTGCAGCTTCAGCCCCAAGTTACTGCTCCCCCAACCCCTGCGTGGTCCCACCCCACCACCCTTTGTAAATAGTCCTGTTGCAAGGACTATTTGCAAGGACGCCCCCCCTCCTTCAAATGATGCTGTTTCAAATGTGTCATCAATGCTTCCTGTCGAGACCCTGATGGAAACACAACGCATCCAAGGTGAGGCACTCGATGAATATTTATTGGAAAAGAGTCTCAAGATTCTCAACTCATGGGTGTGGAATCCCCAGGCAAAGACTCTGTGCCCCAGAAGTCCCACTGAGAAGGCAAGACCAATTCTGCACTACTCCACGCCGCGCGCGCACACACATGAGCATGAAGCTAAGAGACCTTGGAACCAGGACGTCTGTCCAACCAGTGTGACGCAATGTTTCCCGTAAACCTCGCCACAGCACATGCGGCAAGAAACTCCCTGCATTCCACACTGGGTTGACAATTGGCTGCCCTTAAAGCACAAAATTAAATCAGCCAACCCCGTGCACGGCGTATTCCAGGGTGAGAACGGGATGTATTTATTCTGGAGGCTCATGCCTGGCACCACTCAGTAGGGTGACTTACTGTAAAACACTCCCTTAAATGCAAGCTATGCTCGCAAGGGCAGTTGCCAACACCTCCAGCCACCACCCACCGCATGGCATGAGATGTCCCTCACCAGTGCCCAGCACAGCAGGACCCCGAGTCTAAGCTGCCGGTTGGCGAGACACGTGTCTGAAATGCTTAAGGTGGGGCTTAGGCTCTGGCACATAGGAGACGCCTTGAACGAATTTGCAAGAGTTAATGGGTTGGTATCAAGAAATCAGGGTTGTGCCAAGAATGTTAACTAGATTTGCTATTACTGGGCTTTTGGAAAATAAGAATTGAACTACGGGACGAAAGGTTCATGAAAATAATTCCACCCAATTTATTCCAAAAAATACCTATACAGTCCCAAACATTTACCAACACGTGAGCCCAGTGATTGGGCTAACCTTCAGGGATTCTGGCTTAACTAGTGTTTACAGAGCCCTACTATTTGTCAGGCCACTGTGCTGTTTCACAGACCATTATCTCCCCCAATTCCTTAGAGAACAAGAAAATATCTCAAAGAATCAAATGACTCTAGTTCTTGAATCTACTTTTTTTTTTTTTTTTTTTTTTTTTTTTATGAGACAAGGATCTCAATTCGCATTGCGCAGGCTGAAGTAGCCAGTGGCATCATCGTAGCCACTGCAACCTCAAACTCCCCAGACTCAAAGTGCTCCTTCCTGCCTCAGCCTCCCTGAATAGCTGGGAACTACAGGCCATGTGCTGTGACACCCGCCCGGCATAATTTTTCCTATTTTTGGTAGAGACCAGAGTCCTTACTATGTTGCCTTCAGTGTTTGGTCTCCCAACTTCGGACTCCAAGCAATCCTGTCTCAGCCTCCCCGCAAAAGTGCCGAGGATTGC